CTGTGTGAGTGCCCCCATGTGCACGTGTGTTGGGAGTCTTAGGGGTGGTCTTTGACTACGCCNAAAGCTAAGTACACTTCAGAAGTCCATGCTGTCTCTGTGTGAGTGCCCCCCTGTGCACGTGTGTTGGGAGTCTAGGGGTGGTCTTTGACTACGCTTCAGGGGTTATGCAACTGGAGGGAAGATAGGAATGGCTGGAGATGTGAAGCTAAAGTGCATTACGAGGTCAGAAGGAAAGTAACGATAAAGTTACCATGACAAGTGGAATTAGGCTATTTGCAGACCCTGGCAGCACCGCCTTTCGGGAGAACGGGACCTGTTGGTGCCCTTCTTTCTAGGTGGGCACAGGGCCCTTGGCACAGCTTCCTGCTGTAATGCAAAAACCGTTTTCTAGCAAAGAGAAGGCACGACTGCCTGAGGCCAGGAGTAAGAAAGGAGAAATATTCTATGGACTAAGAAATGCATAGAATTTTCAGGAGGCTGAAAATAAGAGGGACACTACTTGGCAGGAACAGAAGTAAGAACTTTCTGTATCTTACCTAATGAAGCTTAGACCTTAGGTTGAAAACAATGTACTTATCAACTGATTGTTATAATAGCATTTTCCAGCAGAGGGCACACTTTACATTGAAATAGATATAAAAAGGCCTTCAACCAAGAGGTTTTCAATTGAATTTTTTTAACTTCAGTATTTTGGGTTTCTAAATGGTTTTAAAATATTTTAAAGCATTTAAGGTCCAGAGGATGTTAAATATGAAATTTCCCAGATTCCAGTTAATATTTCTGCCTTATTAGTAAAATGTTCAAGTTGTGGTTGCAAAGAAGCAGTTTTTTCCCCTTGGCTTATGGGCTGGTCTTAGAAACTATCATTGTAAGCAAAGTTTTTTTTGTGTTGTTAAAATTATTACAGAAAATCCTATCTTTTAACTGTATGAGCATCATTTTTCTTCATTTCAACAGAGTTTGATATGTATAGCTGCTTTTCTTTAACAGAAATAACCAGCATTTTCTGATCTGTTTCATAACTAGCTTTGATATTCTTCCTAGAGGAAATAAGACCTATATAAAACTTAACTAAATGTATTATGTAATAAGACTCCAATATTCAAAGCCTCTTTAAACTGCAATTTCACGAGAATTTAAGATTTGTTTCTCTTCATAATTCATTTTCTTGATCTAACAACCATTCTCACAATGAATGAAAAAGTAGAAACTACTCTCTGTATTAAAATTTTTAAAAAAGGTTAAATCACTTGTTAGCAGTGGCTGAGTGTAGATTTGGAGACCGATCTGTCTGACTCCGTAGCTGGTATTCCTTTCATGGTGACATCCAGTCTCCAATTGACTATTTCATCTGATGTATTTTATAATCATAGACACATGACTTTATTCATTAGGACATAAGTTCAGATTGACATATGATAAAAAGTATAAAGAGTGAAACAAGATATTCCTATATAGTCCATTGCAGGAATTCTTGACTTATAAATTCAATAGGTTGGTTTAATTTTGGCATCACATGAGCACTTTCTCAATCTGGCTTTTTGGAGTGTGTGTGTGTGTGTGTGTGTGTGTGTGTGTATGTGAGATGATTTTTAAAAATGAATACAGGAAGAAAATCTCTGGGGAAGGGATTCTCAATGTTATGGGAGTACAGTATATTTTCTTTTATTATTAAAGTTATTTCCTATAGTACTTATATTTCTCTGAAATAAAAACAGTATCAAAATCATAAGAATTTGTTGCCTAGAAACAAATTTATTTTTGTGTTGAAAAACTGGAAACTTATATATCCTTAAATTGACAAATAGACCTCTATATATTCCCTTTCACTTTCGTAATGATCTCTAGCAGAATTATTGCAAAAAATTTTGTCAACAGGATGTATTCTTCTTTTATTTGTGTGCAGAAAACCATTTCAACATAAGTGTGGATGTTTAAATGTAAAGTAAACAAAAGTGTATGGATGAAATCAGAAATATTAGCAAAATAAAAAATCTAACTCTTCTTGCCAAGACAAGCTGTTTCAAGATTGATAGAAAATTTGACTTTGCAATGAAAATGTCTGGATGTTTAAAAAAACAACTTAATTTCACTTAGAAGTATGGATATAGGATTATTTGCTTGTTTACAAAGCTTCACACAGATTACCAGCCAGGCACAGTTTTGGGTAAAAGGCACTGGGATACTGGACATAGATTCAGAAAATGAGGGCTTCCAGCTCTGCCCTGTTCTAGCTGTGTGATCTGGATAAATGATTTAACCTCTCTGAGCTGTGGTTTCTCACCTATGGAGCAGAGGTGATAATGGGTATGTACCACATAGGATGCTGAGAGTTTAAAATGTAATTGACGTTACATCTGTGAAAGCACAGAGCTCAGGGACACATTGCAGATTTGTTAGATGAAAATAATCCACATAATGAACGTAATTAATACTACCCTATTTTTCATAATAGCTTTTTTAAAAATTTTACTAATTATTTGTGTACATTGCATTCAATAGATCCCCTAAATATTATGCATGTTAGAACAAAGCTTGGGGAAAATCTTAACTTTTACACTTACATGGAGCAGGTTTAAGATTATGGTTTAACTGCTAATGATTAGAAAATAAAATGGAAATCAAATATAATTTCCATTTGGATTACACTTAGTTGGAAACTTAAAGTTACAGTGTTAGATTTTAGATAATATTTGTTAGTATTTCTCAGTATTTTTGGTATTGTTTTCAGTGCTCAGTGCCACATTTAATACAGCAAATGAAAAGCATGTAAAAATTTACTTTTTTGCCTCAAAAATCTTGGTCTGTATTTCTAAGATCGAGAATTATCCTTGCAATGACATTTCCCCCTATCTTATTTTACACCTTGCCTTTTTCTTACAAATCATTTTCTCTTTTCATCAGTACATCTGCCCCAAACACTGTTCTACTTGACAGTTCTATCCCACACTCGCCTCTGAGCTTCTAACAAGGCATACCTCTGGGAATTGCAAAGTGCCATATTTAAAATCTCTCAGTGAGATGTACAGGTTTTCCCGTGTGATCATAAGGGATTCCTCAAATCCGAGTTTTAGAGCTAATCTACAACAACTGATAAGCACAGTATTTTCACATTAGTATATTTATGTTGTGCTAATGTACTTAAACAGTATGTGTGTCCATTGAGAATTTTTCTACAAATTTCTTATTAGCTTTCAAGAAAAATGCCTCAGATACTTTATTGGCATTGGCTGTACTTCCATATTTCCTAAGCTAAATAGGCTTACCCAGGTTACAAGGGGGAGGTCATAGATGTCACAAACGCCCGATGGAATACTAGTCAGCAATAAAAAGGAACAAATTGCTGATACAAACAACAGCATGGATGCATCTCGAACTGCTTATGCTAACTTAAAGCAGCCAAACATAAAGGCTATATATTGCATAAATCTATTTATATGACATTCTGGAAAAGAGAGACGTATAGGGACAGAAACCAAGTCGGTGACTGCCAGGGGATAGCAGGAGGGAACTGACTACAAGGGGGGTGGGGGGACTTTTAAGACGGAAAAATCTCGATTGTGATGGTGGTGACAAAACTGTAGACGTTTGTCAAAGCCCCCAAACTAAGCACCTAAAAAGAGTCACTTACAGTGTGTAAATTATACCTCAATACACCTGACTTTAAAAATATAACTGAAGTTAAAAATATAACTGGCTAAAGAAAAAGAAGGTACTTGTAGTTTGGGGGAGCTGTAATTGTCTCTTTCCAAGGAAGTTTTATCAATAACGTATTATGTGTCTGTTTTTCACCCATTTCTATTTCCAGCCTAAATGTATGACACCCAGACTAGTTTTCAATGGATAAAGACGACATTAATAGAATTTACTTAGTACGTTTGGCAGCTTTAGCTGAAATAATAGTTATCTAACAATTATAAGTATTATGAAATGTTATTAATTGTAAGAAGAACATTATTAAAAAAAAAAACTCTTGCCCTAGTAATACACCAAATACTTGAATTTTATTTCATTTTCCAATCATCAGCAATTAAGCTAAAGTGCTAAGATCTGATTGTATCTAATATTTTTGAATGGTAATCCAGTCCTGTGAGGGAAAGTGTGCTGGCCTCATTTTATGTAAGAGGAGGCTAGGCATAGAGCAACTGCAGCAGCAAATTTCACAGATGCTTCGGATTCCAAGGCCAACATTTGTAACCATCTTTCATTTATTGTTACCAGTTTAGCAATAGTTCTGATCCTTGAAGACTGGACTGCAAACATTCTTGGAACTAAACTGTAAGGAAGGAAGTCTTCCCTTGAGGGGGAGATTTTCAAAAGGAATTGATGCTGAGTACTAAAAACAGAAAATTGGGATTAACAGGTGAAGGCTGTGCACTTGCCACTCACTTTAACAGTAACCCTTTGATAGAAGCTTAGTTTAATTACAGTAAAAAAATTATTTACGACCTCACATAAGCTCTAGTAACAACAGCAGTGCCGGGTTTTAATTATAGTCTTCCTGAGCAAATTCTCTTTAATATTTTAAAGTTATGTTTGTTACTGAACTGCTATTTTCATAGAGTAAGTCCATGTACTTTATTAATAGTTTTGCTTTATTCATTACCTACCATTTTATGTGAAAATAACTCAATGGTTTCTATATAACACATATTTTTTAAATGACATTGTCAAGCCTAGATCTTTTTGGGACAAAATTCACATGAAGGGGAATGACAAAATCATAAATCCTTACAGATTTGCATTAGCTCTCGTATCGGATGTATGGTACTTTAAGTAGATACATGGATTTGATTCACTACCCAGCAGCTTCTCAGCCATAGTGGAGTTTACAAATGCAGCTTGCCAGAAACTCTTACCTTTTGTGCATAATTATCTGGGTGTGCCTTCCCTGCTTGCACTGAACTGTAAGTACTGTGTGCTGTAGAGGTGTGTAGCTAAAATATGTTTATTCTCAAAAATATTTTTAAAATATTTTAAAATGTTTTCCTTTGCAGAATCAGACACAAGTTTGGCAGAAGGAAGTGTCAACTGCTTAGATGAAAGTCTTGGACATAACAGCAACATGGGCAGTGATTCAGGCACCATGGGAAGTGATTCAGGTACTGCCTAACTGTTGGGTAAACCTTAAAAAGTGTGAAATAAGACTCCATATACTGGAAAGCATGGGGGCTGTTCATACCCTCCCTAATGTATTTATGCAATTAAAGCAATTCTTTTCTACAGTTGAAGGAGTGTTGGAACGTTGCCATTCACTTTCTTTAAAAGTACAACTTACAAAAGTCTTAGAATCCAGCTCTCTAATTTTGATCCAGTACACATCTTTTTGGTCTGGCATATGCCACATTTCATAGAATCATGTTATCTAGTTTATTTATGGAATCTGCTTCAATTAATTTGGCTGTTTTAAATTCTATATATAATTTGGTACATTTATTCCCAAATCCTAATTTTTTATTAAAATACACTTTAAATAAAACTTCAAGAGTTCCTCTTTAACGAAGAACTGGAAATTACATATACACTTAACGAGTTCCATTTTACATAAATATCTCTTACATAGGAGTAGTCTGCAAAATATTTCTGTCACGAAATGAGACCTTTCCTAGGTGTTTTCTAAATTGTTCTCCACATTAGTTGACTATCCCACCAGCAATAAATGAGAATGTCTCAGCACACTTGAGCAGTGCTTCCAGTTATCAGATTTCCTAACTTTTGTTCGTCTGATCAATTTCAGATCACTTCTTTCTGTTCGTGAAATGTGCATTTCCATTATTATTACTGAGCTAAAATGTCAACATCTTTTAAAAATGGGTGATGGCTCCTTGGATGTCTGTTACACACTTTTCTATATTTGTCTTTATGTTTGATGTATATGATCGTTAAAATTAACAGATTACAAACAAAAATGCTTTGCAGTGTGCCCAGCTAAGAAGCAGTAGAAAAATGGCAAGTTAAGAAACAATTACTTTAGCCTTTAATTGTTTTGCAATTGAGTTGTAGTAAATACTTAGAAAATATTGTGTACTTCAGATCACCCTGCATTCTCAGAAGAATTATAGAAATTTAGATCTACAATACATCTAAAAGGTCAAAATAATTTACATAAGGATACTTATCTGCCTTAAAACCTTTCCAAATTGAAGTGTATCACCTCTTTTATTTAAATGTCCAGTCTCTCAATAACACTTCTGAATCCCTTATAACAAACTGGTTTGAGGAAACCCAATTCACCAAGTGTCAGTCATAACATTAACTTTAACTAAAAAGGGTTAATTCATTTCCTGTCCAATTCAGCTAAATTCTTGCCATGTGCTTATTTCTGTGGATTTTTTTTTTTTTTTTTTTGTGGCTTGTTATACAGTTATTTAATTATAAATTTTAATTACATGCTATTGATTCTAGAATTCAAAATATATTCTAGCTAATATGTAACATTTTGTGGGTAGTTTCAAGCTTCTGGACCTCATCCTAATTTTTGTTTGTCTATGTAAGGGCTTTTCAACAATATTCATTTATTCAATAAATATTTAATGGCTATCCCCTATGTGCAAGGCATTTTGTCTAGTATGAGCTGTTAGCAAATGTAACTGTTTACTGATTTTCAGTCCTCAATGTGGCAGGAAAGACGTGATAAATCTAAATGCAACCTACTTTTAAAAAGCAAATACATTTTCAAAGGCAAATACATGTGAAGACCAACACATTGTCAAAGGGTACCCACTGACGTTTTCGATGGGGTCAGTGCTTAGGAAAAAGAATTGTTTTGCACAAAGGGTAGTAGAATTCTGAAATTATAAAATTATGATATTCCTTTCCCTGAGGTACATGACATTATAGGATGAAACAGAAATCAATTTTTTAAAGGTTTAGATGAACTGCTAATCGTTAAACACATATTGAATCACTGAAAAGCATTGCAATGTTTGGGATAATATTTTAACCTTTGAGGTTGACATCAAAGGAATGTTCTTCCACATGTCCTCTGTCAGCCTTCAAAGGTTACATATGGGCCATAAGGATCATGGATGTGACCCAATAACCATGACATTGTTTCTTTGTGAAGTATTATTCCGTAGTAAAAGATAATTAGTGATGCTTTTTAAGTTTAAATATTCTAATTATACTATGGAAGGCATTTTGTTTTCTGTTTCTCATTTTCAGAGCGATATACTGCTTAACACAAAGTAGCAAATTATTTTTGGAATACACACTGACTTGATATGTAGAAAGTGTTTCCTTACTATTTCAAGGTAATACCTATTAATATTTGTCCAGCTGGAATGGCATGTTTTTTGTGGTTACATACTATAGGTAAAGGAGTACTTTTTCAATTTCAAACACATGCAGTGACAGACCTTTTCTCTCCAAGAATAACTCAGCTGTCAAAATCAATGTGAGAATGAAATTTGCCACATGGTGTAGTTCCAATAGAATGTTATTATTTAAGCCCTATTTGATTCCAGTTTTTGACCATTTGTATGGTATAATTTCAAAGGCTTTAATCAGTATTTGTTGTAGAGGAAGGGCACAAAGTAATTCAAAGCCTGTGCATATTTTAAATACCATTTTCATTATTGCATTTAATTGATTTTGTTTTTCAAAGGGAGCCAAAAAGAAACCAACAACAAACAAACAAAACCCAAACATTTTTTTTTTATAAAGGAAATTGGCTCCTGGCTCATTGACACCAGTCCAGTTCTCTCCTTCTGGTGACAGAAAAGAGAAAATTCTCTTTTTATTGCTTGTGTGGATAAATTCTTCCATCCCTGTGTCAGAGGATGCGATAAGGCAAGAATCAGACTGAATATTTAGCACTCACCCAACGCTTTTTCTTTGGATGCTACTCTCACAATGAATCCAACTCTAATTTTTTCTGTATTCACTCTGTGCTTCTTTTTTAAACTTGGGGACACCCATTGAGTTTCTTAGACTTGACTCACAAATGTGGAAGATTATTAAACTATCTAATAGCCAGATCTGTTTAGTGGCAGTATAGCACACTACACTCTGAAGTCCTTGAGGACAGTGACTATATTCTTTTTTTTTCTTTTAATCCTCAGTGCAGGATATTTTTTCCATTACTTTTCAGAGAGAGTGGAAAGGAGGGAGAGAGAAACATTGATGTGAGAGAGACATCAATTGGCTGCCTCCTGCAAGCACTCTGACCAGGGCTGGGGACTGAGCCTGAGACCAAAGTACTTGCTCTTGGCTGGAATTGAACCGAACCCTTCAGTCCAAGGGCTGATGCTCTAAACATTGAGCGAAACCAGCTAGGGCTAGGACTGTATTCTTGAGAGCACAGGAATATAATAGGCGCCCAGTAAACAGTTACTGCAGAATGAATTAATGGTACATGACTAGTCAAGAAGCAGTGAAATGTCATGACTTTGATTCTAGACATAAAATTGAACACGATAGCCCTTTCAACAGTCTAAGTCTTCTTAAATTTATTAGTATAATATTTATATACATAAGTGATATTGATGTTCTACTCATTTGACTTAGTTTTAGACTCTTGGGAAAGAGACTTTGGACATTTTTCTAAGATTCTCTTTAAAATTTTTGTTACTCAAGACATTAGTAATAAGCATGAAAAACAAAAGTGGGAAATAATGATTTTAAAAAGTATATTCAGCTATTTATGAGGAAATCAGATTTTTATTATTATTTTTTATATCTATGCAAAAGTGTACCTGAAGTGAAATTAATAAAGAGAATTTGATGATATCTTTTATCAGACTTCCTAGATCAAAGAGCAATTTAGCAAAAGTTAATTTCTAGATGTTGGTGTTAAACACAATTTAAAATACATCTTCCTTTGCAAATACTGTGGCTCTTTTAGAAAAGTTATGTGATAAATGCTCATAATATAGATGGAATATTGAAATTTTTATAATCTATGAAAGCTACTTAAGAAAAGTAATGATATTCTTAAATAACTTTGAATCTCTCATAAATATAATAGAAGATGGATTACTGTAATTGATGTAGAATTCAAACAAGCATGGGAAGAAAACTTGTAAATGTATAGAGTGTCCCCCCAAAAATGTATACACACTTTGAATGATTATAAAGTCAGTGTTTATTAACATACAGTTCATTTTCAAAATTTGAAAGAATCTACAGAAATGAATAATCTTTTTTTGGTCAATGCCTGTTTTCAAATTGATGACTGTTCTGGTCCAGGCACTGCTGATAGCACGAAGCAATGGAATCGCAAACATCAAGAATCATTTCATTCGGTATTTGTGGGCCCTCAATTGGTCAGCTGTTGCCGATTTTGTACCGTAAACTTTATCTTTTATGTATCCTCATAAAAAAAAAAAGTTTAGTGGCACTTTGGGATAAATTTTTGTTGTTCAGCGCTTAATCTGGCTTCACCCATTATTTGAAGTCAGTTAAACTTGAAAAGGAGCAAAAGTTAAGTGAGTTATTGGCTGTTAAAAGTGTGTATGCATTTTTGGGGACACCCTATGTTTTTAAATGTTGGTGACCTTGAAGGAGTTTTTCCTGAAAATCATATTAGATGAATCAGCAGCGGATCCAATGATAACCTAAATGTACTGCATCTGTGTTTACTCATCCATACACAAGGCAAATTTCCTGTCAGGTTAGTAGATGGCTCTTGCTAAGTGGTATTTGGTGTGAATTTTCCTACCTGCTCAGATGGTACTATCACAACAAGTTAAAACACAGTTAAATAGAATCATCCCTTTGCTGAAATGGAACCATCAGCAACCTTTTTGAAGTTAATGGGATTATGTTAGCTTAGTTCTATTGCCATCATTGATAAGAGAAAGAACACTTACTTCATGTGTAATGAAATACTGATAAGTGCTGTCATTTCATTTTTTATGATTACATAAAGCATAAGTGAGGCTTTTAAATTGATGTAATATTTATTTTACGACATTCCACATGATAAGTTATACATTTTGATATCTTTTTCCCCTGGCTAATATAGATAAATATAGTCACTTCTAAACAAAACATATTTAAATCAAGATATGCTATAATGATTTTATCCATATGTTTATAAAATTCATGTGTGTTAGTACTTACCTTATCAGTATTTTAAATTTAGAAATCTATATTAATTAGAAATATTTTTAATTTATTGTGCTTTGAGTTTCAGGAAACTAGGAATATGTGGAGACATACATATAAGGAAATGATAAAGATCACAATTCAACACTAAATGGCAAAATTAGTCACAATTCAGTTTAACAGAGTTGTTTTTTGTCATTCGATGAAAACTTACAAATTAAAAGCTAGTATAGGAGGAGTTTTTCCCTTTCTGCATAAATATTGGTTCTGTTTAATCTGGTTGGTTCAAATGCCATAAATGGGATTGGTGTTTTTTTGCCATTTTTAAATACTTGAGATAGACAGATGATAGATAGATGATGATAGATAGATGATAGATGATGATAGATACATAGATAGATAGATAGATAGATAGATAGATAGATAGATAGATAGATAGATGATAGATGATAGATAGATTAGATAGATCAATCAGTGTGCAGGCTTTTGGTGTTCAGTTGTCAGAAAAAGTGTTTCAAATGAAGGGAACTAGCATCAGCTGTAATATCTTCTTTGTAATAAAAAGTAAGGGGGGATGCAGAATAAGGAGGACTGGTGGTTCCTCCTTACCCAGTTCTCTTGATCTGTAGGTGGAAGAACTAAGAGAAACATGTAAGGCATTATGGCTCAACAAAGAGATGGAAAGTCTGATGCATTAAGAACTATAACTGCCGATCTTTCACGTTTCTATACTTTGCTCTTGGCTTTGCCCATTCCGTGAAAAGATTCCCGCGTGTTGCCCCCTTTCAAAGGTCCTCTGTCCTATTAATTCACTTCCTTGGCACCCCCACCCCCAGCCTCTTCTGTGACACAGTGCCTGGGTCGTATCCTGCAAATGCAGACACAGCCGATGCCCATTTGGTGCAGAAAATAGAAAAGGGATTGGTTTGGAACATACATGAAAAGCAATTTAAACACAGAGGCCTATGTTCAGTGCGAGGGCTTCCTAGCCATAATCATTTTGTTGCCCATTCCCTTAATTATTTTCCCCCCTTGCTTTTCTTTCTTATAACTTCTTCCAGATGAAGAGAAAGTGGCAGAAAGAGCATCCCCTGAGCCAGAACTGCATCTCAGGCCTTACCAAATTGAAGTTGCCCAACCAGCCTTGGAGGGAAAGAATATTATTATATGCCTCCCTACAGGAAGTGGGAAAACAAGAGTGGCTGTTTACATTGCCAAGGATCACTTGGACAAGAAGAAAAAAGCATCTGAACCGGGAAAAGTTATGGTCCTTGTCAATAAGGTATTCAAATGGCACATAATATAACATTGTCTATTTTCATTTTATTATTTTGAAGCATTTGTATAGTGACATTTGTAACAATAGATCACACAGATTTAGTTTCATTAGGAAAAATATCTATTTATTTTGTCTTAAATCTTTGTTTTTCAAGTTCTAAGTAATATCTTAGTTAATAGCCTTTAAAATGGAACTTTCTATAAAACCAGATTAAGTCAAATAGCTATAACTTATGTATAAATAGCATATTTACCCACATATTTATTTATTTATTTTTTAAATATATCTTTATTGCTTTCAGAGAGGAAGGGGGGGAGAGAGAGAGTTGAAACACCAATGATGAGGGAGTCGACACTGATGCGCTGCCTCCTGCACCCCTCGACTGGGGATCGAGCCCGCAACCTGGGCATGTGCCCTGATCGGGAATTGAATCTTGATCTCCTGGATCCTAGGTCAATGCTCAACAGCTAAGCCACACCCGGCAGGGCTACCCACATATTCTTTAAGGTTGACTGGTACTAATTTAAGGTATCATTGCATGTGAACAGAAATGAACTCAAAATATCACTGGAATCTAGGATCAAATACTGTCTTCTAGAGTCTCTTTAATAACTGGTTCTTAGTCAAAGGTGGCAAGTGCTCTTTATCCAGAATATATGTTATTTGTTTTAAGAGAAAGAGAAAATTAAATTAATATTTGGCTGATTTGTATCAAGTTAAATAGGTAAACAGTTTTCAAATATTTGAGATATATATATATATAAAGTATATATATCATTAAATGCAACTGAGGTCTACTTTAATAATTCATATCTTGGGGCATTTGAAAGCCATCTTCACAAACAGATATAAGTCTCCATTTTAAACAAAGTCTAGTTATTTAAGCTATATTCAGATAAATGAGAGTTTATTAATTTATAAATTTATAAATTGTGGATGGTAATCTCGACCATTTTATTGAGTAAAATTGAGTATACTTTTCCATGACCAGAAAGTCTTTTTCCCCATTACTTATGATAACTAGATTCCTAGTTATTTCTTCACAGGAAATATAGTAATAGACTATGCAACTTTCTTGTATCTTTTGTATTTTCATTATAAAAGTTTAGTTGCAACCTGCTTTTCAATACTAAAGAAACATACTCATAACCCATGATCTGAGTGATTTGCGTCACGTAATTCCAAATGCATTTTATATGTATATGCGCTAAGCCAAAAGACCTCTCCTTTGTACTGTATGCACATTATTAAAACAGTTTTATTTCTTTTGTGGTAATGGTGATACATTAAAATTTTCATATAGCTTTTCATATATTCTCTTTATTAAGGATATTATCTCTTGGAATACAACAAATTTAGGTGTTTGATCTTGGACAAATTACTAACTTCTCTCACTTTAGTTTCCTCATCTATAAAAGGAATTAAGATAATACTACTCTGTATAGTTGGTAGTTGCTGTAACCTAAAAAGCCTAAGTTCATTTGAAAAAGCTGTTAAACTATACCTCTTAAGTTTTGTTTGTGCAGTTAATTTTTGAGCCTAAATACAATTACTTATGTTCATTTCTTCATATCATTATGCTAATTGATCATTTCAAGTCTTGTGTTTTTGAATGCATCTAGTGCATCTTTCTGTAATAATTACTTGTCCTCTCAGTGTTAAGTTCTTGTCACAAATCTTTCATCCCACTGGACCTAGGTAATTCTTGTGAATTCAAGTTTGCAGCCATGTTTAAATGTTAAATTATCCTCATCAATTATTTATATCAATTGCACTGTTATGTAAAATAAGAATGTGAATCTAACTTCTGATCTGCTTCCCTACTGTTTTTCCCTAAGAATTACTAGAAATTCCTCCATTAGTTCTTCCATCTATGTCATAATTTTTTTCCATTATTATCCCATTTCTTTGAATTTTAATGTAATTTCAGCTTTAATTCTTTTTTATTGAGTCAGGAAATCTGTGACCCAGTAAGTCAACTTAACCTACATTCTGTTTTTGGCCCACAAACAAGATATTATAACCCTTGATCTAGAAAGGAAAATTCCTGTTCCCTAATACCATTTACTTTCATCTCCCTTTCTCCATCCTTTCCAAAGTTATCGCCTTCAAATGCAGGGAGAAACGAAAACACCACCTGTGTTTCCAGACTTTCTATTTCCTATCTAGGGCTTCCACATCATGAGAGATAAATCCCAGGTTCCTTCAGATGCTGTGATGCAGCCCCATATGATTCAGCAGAAGTGGGTAGCAGTTGGGTTTGATTAGTCTTGGCAAGCACTCTGTCACATCTCAGGAAAAGGCTCCAAAAGGACCACACACCTCCCAATTAGCCATGTCAGACTTGCATCTGGCTTTCTCTTGTCCTTCAACAGGAAGTCAGTGCCACCCAGAGTGAGTATCAGGATTTCCAGCACCTGCTACCTCCTGTGACAGCTTCTTTTTGTTTTGTAGAATAGCTGCTGATTCTTTGACTCACCCTTTATGGACAGAACTTCAGGTCCCTATGTCACTTCGTGGAATAAAGATTCTTAAATCACTCGGTAGCATGAGGGTATTTAAAGACAAATGAAATGCAGATCCTGTCCCCAAGGAATCTAGTCTAGGAAATGAAAGATGTGTATTAATAATTTAATAATACTGTATTGTATTTTACATTGTCTCGGTAAAACCACATGGCTATTCTTTGAAGTAGCCATAATTATCCCCTTTTCACCCATTTGAAAACTGAGGCTCAGAGGTTTTCATTAGCCTGTCAGGTGTCATCCAGCCAATAATCAGCAGAACTGAGACTAGAACCCTTTTGTTCTGAAGTCAACTTCTCCCTTTCCACCATACTCACTGCTAGAATAAAAAGATGGGTGAAATATCAGGGAAGTTTTTTCTGAATACCAGCAATATGTCAGCTTCTGTTTCACTTAGTTATTCACAATAGCCCCACCATAGGCTAACATTTCCTCATTTTATTATATATGGAAATTGAGATGATCAAGTAACTTGTCCAAGGTGACACAATAGCAAGTAGCTTCAGTGGTTGTTTTCAGAGATGGCTTTCTTTCCTCTCTTCCCACTAAATTTAATTCTCACTCTCTTCCACAGAATACTTCCTTCTTAGATTATCACCTCTGTCCTGTATAAGTGAAATGAAAAAAATAATTTGACTCCTGAAGAATGACGTTGAACTGCATGGATACACTTATACACAGAATTTTTCCCCCATAAATACCGTAGATGTATTTCTCTTTCTTACGATTTTCTTATTAACATTTCCTTTTCTTTAGCTTACTTTATCATAAGAATACAGCCACTTCTTAGACAGAGGAGCGGGTCCAGGGTTGACTCTGGAGGTTGTGGTCTTAAAGAGGGAGACCATCTTCCAGCTTCTTGCCTGCAAAGATGAGCCTCTGCTGGCCAGGCCAGGGGTGTCTTCTTTATCCTGGCCCTGGCCCAGATGTTATCCATGGCATCTCTGGGTTTCACCTCCATGTTGATGGTCTTGCAGGTCAGGGTCTTCAGAAGATTTGCATGTTGACGTGTTCGTGAATGCGAAGATGCTGTAAATTGTCAATCAGGTCAAATCACCTCAAGGCCAACACACTCTCACTAGACAATGCCAGTTGTCTCTTGAGTTTCATCTCTTTTGCCAAAGCTCTTGGTGGTTCTGTTCTTTCTCAGCCTCCGAAGCTGTTCCAGTGGTCCATTCCCCCCCTCACCCACTCTCCTAGGAGATGCCTCACCTTCTCACTTTTTCCTCCCTGTTCAATTCCTCAGGCACGTTGCCTCTGACCTGATCCCAAAACAACCAACAGTAATAAATCATCCCTAAATGTAACACAACTCACCAGGGTCTTGTGAACTGTTATACTAAATTTAAAATACTCTCCTTGGTGTTCACAGCTCCTTTTAGCCTCTTCCCTATCAATTCAAAAGTTATTTTTTATCCAGCCTTAGTTTCAATTGATCTCTTCACTGACCCATGGCTTACAAGGTTAAAATTCCTCCTAAACCCTTCTTTCGAGCAGTCGGCTACATCTTCCTCTTTGCTGTCACTTTGAATGTGTTTCCTTGGGAGAATTATTAGATGGTGTTGTACTAATTTGTTTTGTTTTGAGTCTTAGTCTGTGCGCTCAGCTAGACTGAGTTCCTGAAAGTTGGGAACCGTATCTTAAATATCGTTGTGTCCCAGACACAAGGTCTGCACCTAATAGGCATCCAATAAGTGCTTACTGACAGGTGAATAAGTGGAATGGTGGCTAGGTTGTCATGCCTAATTAACTAATCATGTAAACACCTTTGTTAATGCTTGACACTTAGTAGGCCTTTGATCGATACCCGTTTTGCTCTGACGATGCTCTCTCTCTCTTTTTACTTTTGGCATTTTTAAAGGTCCCATTAGTTGAACAGCTCTTCCGTGAAGAGTTTCAACCATTTTTGAAGAAATGGTATTGTGTTACGAGATTAAGTGGCGATACCCAATTGAAAATATCATTTCCCAAATTTGTCAAATCCTATGATGTTATTATCAGTACAGCTCAAATCCTTGAAAATTCCCTTTTAAACTCGGAAAAAGGAGAAGATGATGGTGTCCAGTTTTCAGGTTGGTTGAAGTGTTTCTTCTTGAAAAAATTAATTACTATTAATTAGTATTAATATTAATGGTAGTAATAGAGACTGTGTAAATGTGGATTTAAAAAGATTAACTTTGGTTTATGTTGTCCTTTATTGTTTAAGTTTTCATTAAAACCCTTTTACTTCTTTGGGGAAGAACAAACAAAAAACTTAAAAAGTTTTTAAGTAGATCACTGTTCTGCATAAGAATATCATTACTACATCAAACAATCACTAGATTTTCCACTTACTTCTTAGTTCTAGGTACTGACAAGTTCTTTTTATATGCTAGTGTATCCTGTTAGATCTGCTTTCTGCTCCATAGGACAAATAGACAACCTTTTCTATGTTGTGAGTTATTAGAAGAGAAGGTAGAAGAGAGGAAGGGAAATAAGTACAAATAAGCAAAATAATTAAATGCAATGTTAAAACATGCCAAAATTTCCCTCTTTAAGTAGTGTAGTTTTTTCTGATATAATAAATGTAAAATTCACCCACTTAAAATTAAACATTATAGTAAAGAACAAAAGTGTAATCTTGAGAATTTTGGGCAATCCGCCTGGGTTTGAATTCCATCCCATACACTCTTTAGGTCTATGAACTTTTCAAAACTCACCTGTTAAATAGGGATAATATCTAACAAGGATAGTTTCACGATTCATATACATAAACTTTTGTACGTACAGGTGATTAGAATAGTCTTAAAAAGTGAAAGAGGGCAGTGCCAGTATTCCGCCCAGGAAAAGACAACCCCACAGCAGCTAAGTTTAGTAGCTTAAAGATACTTGTGGGGGTGGTGGGGGTGGTTTTTCTTCACTGAACCTTGCTGTCAGGACAAATGAACCTTTTGAATTTTCTTTTAAGACTTTTCCCTCATCATCATTGATGAATGCCATCACACCAACAAAGAAGCAGTCTATAATAACATCATGAGGCGTTATTTGAAACAGAAGTTGAAAAACAATAAGCTCAAGAAAGAAAACAAACCAGTGATTCCTCTACCACAGATACTGGGGCTAACAGCTTCACCAGGCGTTGGAGGAGCCACCAAGCAAGCCAAAGCTGAAGAACATATTTTAAAAGTAAGTCGTTAACTTTATGCATAAAAATGAAAACCAAAGTTAAAAAAAATACCAGTATTCTTGGGCTTTTTTCTTTTCTTTTTTTAAATATATCTTAATTGATTTCAGAGAGAGGAAGAGAGATGGGGAAAGAGAGATGGAAACATCAATGATGAGAGAGCCATTGATCAGCTGCCTCCTGCACGCCCCCGACTGGGGATCGAGCCCGCAACCCGGGCACGTGCCCTGACCGGGAATCGAACTGTGACCTCCTGGGTCTTGGGTGGACGCTCAACCACTGAGCCACACCCGGCTGGGCAGTGTTTTGGGGCTTGTTAAGTAAGGCCAGGTTCAAGTTCGATCAAGTACGTTAAAGAAGGTATTCTAGGATCATCAGTTAAGTGAAGTCTATTTGCTTTAGTTAAAGTAAGTATATTTAATTTTCTACAGAACAGTAAATTGCCTTAATAAACAACTATGACAGAACAAATCACAAAGATTATGGAAAGCTGATATAATTAATGAAAAGTGCAGGTAAATTAAATACCTTCTTTAAGTATCTCATCCTATTGTAAAAGTTAATGATGTATTGCTTGGCTGAGATCACGGTTCGACTCCAGGTCGGGCACATGCCCGGGTTGCGGGCTCGATCCCCAGTCGGTGGGCGTGCAGGAGGCAGCGGATCAACGACTCTCTCACCACTGATGTTTCTGTCTCTCTCCCTATCCCTTCCTCTCTCTGAAATTAATAAAAAGATACATTAAAAAAAGTTCATGTATTTGATATTGAGATATGCATAAAACTACGAACATTTCTAATTTTCATACTCAATGAATTTCAAAATTGTGTATTTTCTCCTACCTTTTTTGTTCTCTGTGATTCTCAGATTCAGAGAGATTCAAATTAAATGGGAAAATGGGGATATGTAATTCTGTAATTAAAATGTATTACTTATCAGCTGTCCCCAAATGGTAACAGCACATAAAGTGCTGTTGTTGATCTCAAGTGCTAAATAAATTCAGGGTACCCCAAGAGGTGTTTTGGTATCAAGGCAATTGCATTTGTATTTTAAGTTCCTTATTTTAAGTTGAATTGAGTAACAATCATGTAGACAGAGGTACATTAACTGGCTCCAAGATATATTTTATTACTGGGATTAAGGACAAATTCTAATCTAGATCCAGGCACATGGGCTTCAGCTGCTCCTAGCTTCCCACTGTGTAGAAGAGAATGATAATATGATCCATGGATGTCAAAATGACCTTTAAAATGCCTCATGTAATATGGTTTTCTCATTAACATTCTCTACTGATCTCTGCAAGTTGCTGTACTCTTTCCATGTGAGCTTTTCCAGCTAGAAAATAGAATGTAAGGAATGAAAATAAATACTCTTTTCTGGAATTATCCACCAACTTGATTTAGAAGCTTCTTTTTACTCTATCAGGACAAATGTTACTGGTTATTGGTTCATCAGATCCACAGTAAAGCAATACTAAAAATGCTATACTTAGCAAGTAATGCTATCTATTTCTTACATGAAAAAAATCTACATTGAATCAATTGAAAGGCAAACCTAATTATTTAAATATTTAAAAATGTCTCTTTTCCAGATATGTGCCAATCTTGATGCATTTACTATTAAAACTGTGAAAGAAAACATCGGTCAACTTAAAAACCAAATAAAGGAGCCTTGCAAAAAGTTTGTAATTGCAGATGACACCAGAAAAGTATGTGCTAAAAATGTCATGTTTAATTGATTGCTGATACCATACTCAATTGAAAGATGCAAAGATTGTTTTATATTGGCCATCTGAATAATATTATTTTAAATTTTTAGTAGTTTCATACTTGTTTATTGATGTTAGGCCATAAAATGTGCTGTGAATTGTATCTTCCATCTTTCTTTTAGTTTTCCAGTTTGTATGAGAGTAGCTCAGTAATTGATTGAATGCATTGACTACATATGAGCCATCCTGGGGTGAGGGTGGGGAAGGTAACATAGCTAACCCAGAGGGATTATACCATAGTTGTTTGTTTTAATTTATTTTATTTTATTTTATTTTACTTTCTTGGTGAATTCCAAGATTGGTTTTCTGATATTCCACAGAACTATTTTGTTGCTATCAGATTACGGTTGGCTGGCAATGATAATGGAAATCCTACTAATTTGCATATTTACTTTCTTAAGAAAACACTGACGTGGTAAAGAAGTGAAATACTTACTTTAATGGTGCTTTTGAGATGACTATTTTCACTGATAGTAAACACCAACTGATACTCAGTTGGATTTCATGACCAGTACATATGTCAGTACTTTCTTTTGTAGCATATAAAGCATGATAACTTTTAGCTATATGTACTTATAATAAGTGTAATTATTGAAAATATACCTCATAAGGATATTAGGATTAAGTAGTATGAAATATGCATAATAAATAATATTGTGTTTGAAATGTAGTAGGCACTAAACCAATGTTAATGACCATCCTCCATAGGTCAGTTTTGTTTTGGGTGGTTTTTTTTAGTTCTGGAAGAGTACTTATCTACTCCAGCTGAACTAGCACATTTGATATACTTTATTTCTCTTCACTTTTGTTATTTACTCAGTTTTACTTGATAAGTTTAAATGCCCATGTCTACTTATAATCATTAATAAACCAACATTCTTAGGATATTTTATTTTATTTCATTTTATATTTTTGCAGGGAAGTGGGATTAAATTGCTGGAGATATATATACATATAAAAATCTGCCACCTTACTCTTTAACTTAACTTTTAGTATACTTTTTAATGAAGTATAACACATATAAGAAAGTACAAATGTTAAGTGTATAATATAGATTGCTGAATTTTCATAAACAGTACACACATGTGTAACCAAAATCCAAATCAAGACACATTTGAATAGCCCCAGACACTCCTCATTCCCCCTTCCAGTCACCATACCCGGAAAGATAACTACTATCTTGACTTCTGACACCAAAGATGGATTTTGACTGATTTCGAACTTTATATGAATGAAATCATACAGTATGCCCTTTTCTGTGTCTAGCTTTTTCTAAGACTCTCTTCACTTTTAATTCTGGTATAATGCTGAAACCAGTTCTTCAAAGAGGAATATTTCTTAAATTAGATTGCAGGTTTTCTAAATAAAGTGGCATCGCTTTAATGTTTTTAAAAATTAGCATCCAAGGTTATCATTTATTAATTTTCTTTTGTAAAATTTTTAAACTGGAAATGTCAGAAGTGGTACAGGGTGTTAGTGTGGATGCGTCTTGAGGATAGAGACTCTTAAAAGAAAAACCGATAAAAAAATAAATGTATAAATAGGTGATCAGAGATTAACTTATTACTTTGCTTAGACAAGAATTCTGAGTCAAATACATTATAACATGGAAATTATTTTCACAAAGATAATGTTATTCCTTTAACAATATAAACATGTAAGAATAAGTGTGTAACTTATTTTTAGGATCCATTTAAAGACAGACTTCTGGAAATAATGACAAAGATTCAAACTTTTTGCCAAATGAATACAATGTCAGATTTTGGAACTCAGTCCTATGAACAATGGGCCATTAAAATGGAAAAAAAAGGTAATTGGTGTTTTGACTTAATGCTTAATACATCCCATGTTTATGCCAAGATTTCAGATGACTGCATCACATATTTCCAAGCAAAGTAAAAGCAAATGGAATTTCTGTGTTCTAAGTAGGACAAAGATAAACATTTTCTAATGCCTCATCTAAGGAAGGAGGCACCAATTAATTGTTTATTTTTATCACCAGAGTCTTTCAATTATTGTGAATTTAAAATATTAAGATAAATATTAACAGCTCTGTCTCCAGTTGTAAACTCAACTAATACTTTTTTTAAGCCATTCCTCTGACTAGGCGTGGGTCAGGTATGTGTTCTTGCTGGTGCAGAACTCAAGCAGCAAGTCTAGGAGTTGGAAAACTTGCCCCCTGTTAGAAGTCACGGCACATTTTGAGTCTTGCTTGCTCACTTCACAAACAAAGGGAAACCTATTTTAGAGTCAGTATTATAACCATATTCAAGTCCACAGCACAGTATTAAGTGTGTGTGTGTGTGATCATTATTTCATGCTACATAATATGTTTTTCACAGCTGCAAAAGAAGGAAATCGCAAAGACCGTCTTTGTGCAGAACATTTGAGGAAGTACAATGAGGCCCTGCAAATTAATGACACGATCCGAATGATCGATGCCTATAACCACCTTGAAACCTTCTATAAAGACGAGAAAGAAAAGAAGTTTGCAGTCCTATATGACAGTGATGAGAGTGGGGACGATGGTGATGAAGGTGAAGATGAAGATGAAGGAAAGAAACCTTTGAAACTGGATGATACAGATACATTCCTCATGGCTTTATTTTTTGGTAAGAATCAATGTGACACTTATTGCATGGTCTCGTGCATTTGCCTCTTTGGCATGAACTGCTGCTTTTCAAGAGCTCTCCAAAAGTCCCTCTTAAAATATTTCATTTTGAAAGAAGAAATCCCACTCATATTTGGGCTATTTCTAATTGATATGACCAGAGTGGCCATGAATTTGTATGATCATAATCAATCATTTGGTCATGTGTATTTTTGTCAAGATGACTGCAATAAATTTATTTATTAAGTAGCCTGATTCTTAGATATAGATAAAAGGTTAGCTATAGTTGAACTACATCTCATTGCAGCATTACATTAGATCTTCCACTGTAACTATTCATATATTTTACTAATTTAAACTAATTATTTTTAAAGATAACAAGGATATGTTGAAGAAACTGGCTGAAAACCCAGAATATGAACATGAAAAGCTGACCAAATTAAGAAATACCATAATGGAACAATATTCAAGGACTGCAGGAACAGCAAGAGGAATAATTTTCACAAAAACACGACAGAGTGCATATGCCCTTTCCCAGTGGATTATTGAAAATGAAAAATTTGCAGAAGTAGGGGTCAAAGCCCATCATCTGATTGGAGCTGGACACAGCAGTGAGTTCAAGCCCATGACACAGGTATAAATATCTTTTGGGATTGCTATTCTTATGCTGTTACTACTCTTCACAAATTAGTTGTCTTTGTTTCATCTATTCTCTCGCCACCCCACAAATAACATTATGGAATGAAGCATTTGTTCTTGAAGTAAAATGTGAGTTTAATAGCAATCTAATCTCTGGTATTCAATAGGCTAAGCATTGTCCTAAGAGTCATTTTCTTCACATACTTGAAGGAACTTTCTAAAGTGAGTTTCCTTTGCAAAAATGATTGACATTTAAACTTAGAAACAAAATATCAAAATGGTTACAATATCATTATCAAGTGGAAAAATCCAATCTCCTCAAACATATGTGCATTATAATTAGAACTATGTAAAATATGTTTGCATAGGATGAGATCTGCAAGGGAACTTGGAAAAATTAAGACATTTTATGTGTTAGAGATTTGGGATTATGAGAGCTTTTCCTTTTTAAGTTTTTTTTTGTTTTGTTTTGTTGTCATTTCATTATACTACTTATCATGTGCACAGTAAAAAACACTTGGGAGAGCAAAAGGCGCTTGTAGATATTACAAGCAAGCGGCTTGTTAGAATAAAATGTTCTCCTGAAGGCATATTCATCCCGAGTCTTGCTGGACAATGACAGGACACTTCAATTCTGACATGGCCATCGCCATGCGGTCCAGTGGAGCAAATTAAACTTGTTTTAGTGTTTGCTGAAAAGAAATAGTTCTTGAAATTGTCCACTGTAACTCTCAAAATACTCTCTACATGTACTCATGTTAAAGTTGCCTCTCACATTTATGCCAGAAAGCACTGTTGTTCAGGGTAAGGCATTTGCTTCCTGCCTTGTGATGCGAGCTAGTTTAGTGAATGTTTCTCTTTTTGCCCTGGATTCTAGGAATCTCACAGGAAAAACAAGTTTAAACTCACAGCCTCTGTGCTAATTCTTACAAGTAATGCATCTATATTCCTTCACTTTTGACCCTGTTTTTAAGTTTCCATTATATCAGCTTTAGTATTAAGACTTTGATTGTATAGGCCTCAGTTCCTCTTTGAAAAAAGAAAAAGGTGAGGCACAAATGGAAAGTATGTTTTCCAGCTGCTTTTTGCTACTTATTCTTCTTGGATTTAGGGGCTGCATCTAACCTGGAACACCCCCCCTTTCCTTACTCCCCCCAGCCTCTCCTTGTAAACTGAGTTGGACTTACTGGGAGAGGAGCTGCGTAACTCTTGATGTGGTTTGAGGGTCTAACACTGTCTGAAATTCTTCCTATTAAGTTACTCCTTTTTGAATTAAGGCACTGATGCCTTCTGTTAAAATCCGAGGACATGTAAGTTTTTATCAGCAGACATGAGTGCTAGGGGGAGAAATGATCAGAGAAGACTGGAGAGGGAGATTTCTGCAGGATTCTGCAGCAGTTTGGAGCCAAATAAAGGCACATGCTGCCTCTGAGAAGAAAGGAAGGGGATGGGAGAACACACTGTTGGTCTGACATGTTTATTTTTGTTTAAAGTATGGGGGCAAAAGATAGTGTGAATGTGCACCAAAGGCAAACTGGACCAACAGCTTTGATGAGAGTGATTATGCAGATAAAGCTCTGCTGGCCATATGGGGCTAGGTTTAAGCTCACCCATTCCTCTGATGCAAGGGCCAGAGAGCATATTTAATTTCTTTACTTACATTAACTTTCAGAATTCAGATTTTTTTCATTTAAATATAATTTTTAAATTATGTTTTTCATAACTCGTTCTTTCATTTTTATTTGTATCATCCCTTTGAACAGATAATATATTTACCTCTGAAAATTAATAAGGCACAGGGCCCACCACTAACCTCCAGTTTTCTAGCTCCCCCTCCTGCAGGCAGCCAATGTTTTCAGTTTCTCAGGTGTCCTTCCAGGAATATTCCATACGTTTCTTGCTTAAATGACTCCTTTTTAAAAAAAATTTTGTCTTTATTGTTGAAAGTAGTACAGATGTCCCCTCCCCCCCAACTTATCCACTCCATCCTGCAACCTCCCCTCCAGGCCTTCCCGGCACTATTGTCTGTGTCCATGGGTTATGCATATATGCATGTAAATTCTTAGGTTAATCTCTCCCCACCCACCCC